TGGCTGGTTGGCTGGTTGGCTGGTTGGCTGGTTGGCTGGTTGGCTGGCTGGCTGGCTGGTTGGCTGGTTGGTTGGTTGGTTGGTTGAGTTGGTGAGCAAGCGACACTGTGTTATATGGTGATGAGAGTGAATGAAAAGTGTGAAAAAGAGAAGCAACAAAAATGGAGAAGAAGAAGGAGCAGAAGAACTAAAAAAGGATAAGAAGAAGAAGCAGAAGAAAGAAGAAGAAGACGAAGAAGAAGAAGAAGAAGAAGAAGAAGAATAAGAAGAAGAAAAAGAAGAAGACATGCTTCCAAATGACTCGTGAAAGGAGGGCTGTATTGGGTTACTTGGAGTTAAACACGAGGACACGAATCCCCAAAGCCATGTGGACATTGCACCAAACACGTTCATACCCCCCTGGGCGGAGTCTTCTTTGACCCATCCCTCCAAATGAGGCGGAACCCTTGGTTCAATAAGAGGAGAAAGCTCTTACCTTCAGCCAGCAATCGCTCGTGCGCCGTCCCGCATCGCCAGGTTTGGAAAATGCCGAAGCCTCGCGCGTGGAGGACGGCTGATCCGAGCCGAGCCGAGCCTGGCGCTTTGGCTTTTGTGGTCCGGACCTTCTCACCAATCCCTGTGGTTTTTGAGGGACCGGTCGGGCTGTGAACGGAGCGTCCGGGGCCTGGGGTGGAGGATTTTTTTCGCCCCCCCCCCCTCAAGAACTTGGAACCTCGTCCCATTCTCCCCATGCGACAGGGGTGACACATCCAAACGTCACAAAAATTGTCACGTTCGCGTTCGAGCGTCGACTCGGGCCGTCGACGCTGGCGGATGTTCAAACAGTGATGAACAGGGTGAACGTTCACCCGGCTCCCACCGGCTGGTCTTCAGCATGCTCTTGCTCGCCCCTGCCGCTGGGTCGGTCGCCCTAGCTGGGCGGGGTCGGGACCTCGGTCGAGGACAAGATCATGATCGACGCGTGTGTGATTGAGACGGTCCCCGGTGGCTTTGCAGAGGTGAACAAGTTCGCCAAAGAGTGCTGCCTGGTTGAAGCGGGTCGGAGTCGCGTTGCGCAAGAGGCGTGATACGTGCGTCACGTTGTGTGGGCTGTGGTATTTTTTGTGGTGAGAGTTCTAGGATGGATGCTCCAGTTTCATTACGACACTGCCTGAGGACACTGGCTACAGGTCACCTCCTTGCAACGCCTGTCTAGTCCACAAAAACTAGGTGCTCCAACCTCGACCACCTGACCCTCCCAACCTCGACCACATGACCACGAGACCGGAGACGAGATCTCCCCCGGTGCTTGGCCGCTCGGCGCTTGGCCCGCCCAGCCGAGGCATTAAGACGGTGCTGGATGCAGCGAACGGCTCCTTCCAGGTGCGAGTGCAGGAGACCGACCCCCAGGGACCCGCTACTCGTAGCGGGGGGGGAGGGGGGAAGGCGGGTTTCGAAGCAGGTGTTCGGAGCGGGACCGGACACCCGGGGTGGGTGGTTAGATTTTGTTTTTTTTGTCCGCCAAGTTCGGAGAAACGGACGACCTCACATGGCGAATGTGCAAATCCGAGAAACATTGGCGTGACGACCTCACGCCATTTTCACGCCAACTCACGTTCCAACTGCATGGCTCATGTTCTTTCCTACCGTCGGTATAGTAGGCCCCCAGACCATCCCAAACGAACCGAGGATGAGTCGTTTCCGCATTTGCTTCCTGTTTCGCTTCCCACGCCCATGTGACACAGACATGTCATGACTGCCAGCACCCTCCAACAGGTCTCCTTCGGAGGCTTGTTAGGCCTCCAACTGGTCTAGTTGCGCGAGGCAGATGTCCAAAGGTCTAGTTGCGCGCACAAAAAAGGGGGGGGTCTGATTTTTGTTTGAACATGCGGTGCTTGCTTCCAGTGTTGACTAATTGATAAGAGTTGTGAACGCCTCCTGATGGGATTTATCACGGGGTGTCCTATTTATCAACGCTCAAAGATTGTCCTAATGACCAGCAGTGCCCCATATCTCACTGGTTGAATACGGGCCTCCGCTCGAATGCTCCATCTGATTTCTAGTTCTCAGTAGCCAGACCCTCCATGGGACCGGAATAGTTAACTTGCTATAGGGTCATTGTGATGGGGTCAATATGCCTTCCAGACACTTGATGGGACTGGAATAATTACATTGCATTGACCCCTTTTCAATCAATCAGCCACCCCCTGGCCTTTAAACGTCAGGAGACTGCCCAGTCCCTTTCGTCTTTTCTCTCCACAAAAGCCGCATCGCACGACACACACCCGGGTTTTACCCCGACGCCCCCCGGGGCTTGGGGACTCGGGTGTCAAGATGTAGCAAGAAGTCCCGGTGTTCTGCGTGGCATTCGAGAAAACCGTTGGTAAAGCGACCGTGGATTTTCCAGCCTATGGCCTATGGCTTGACCACTCGCCCCCCCGTTCCTTCGGATGGTTTGGGATGATTTTTTGGATCGGTTTTTCCTAGGATATCTTGGATCACCTCGACCTCGAACTTTTCAGTCTCCAGCTCTTCCAGCTCTTCCTGGTGAAGTCATCTCCCGGTGTTTCGTCGTCCTTCGTCGTCGTCCACGCATCTGCTCCGGCCATCGGACCCGTTTCCACCGGGCGCGGCGCTCTCGACGGACCGCCGCAGGAACTGATGCAGCGCCTGGATCGGGAGGGGTCGCCCGTCGCCCCGCTCGCCCCACGGCTGCTGGGGCGGAACACCTTCCGCTCGCAGCAGCACTATTCAGGCACCGCGAGCCGGGAGCGGGCGGAGCTAGCGGAGCTCGCGGAGCTCGGCGCGTGGACGTGGAGACTGGGGAAGGGGGGAAGGGGGGCTGGGATGAGTCGAGAACTGCTTGGGGTGAGGTTGAGCATGTTTGAGCTGGGTTGGCAGTGGGGAGTGTTTTGGTTCACGAAAAGAAGAGCAAGACACTTTGGCACGTAGAGGATACAGTCTACACGTCTTCGGACCATTTCGCTTCTTTTTTGGAGGGCGTGAGGCACAGCGCAGTCTGATTGCAGGCCATCGAACATGGTGCAAACTTCATCGAAGATCAGACGTGCAGGGCCACCGAAGTTATTCGGGATAGTTGGACACTTTATTCAGCAAACATTTTCCGTTAACTGTAAACAAATTGCCCAGACGGGCACCCTGGTCCCTCCGTGAAAAGTAGGGGCCGGTCCGGACCTTCTCACCAATCCCTATGGTTTTGAGGGACCGGTCGGTGACCAAGGTGAGCGTCTGGGTGAGAACTAGTGAGTCAAAACCCGGTAGGTGGACCTCCCAGGTAATCCGTTCATGACCGGTCACATCCCCCGCTGGTCAACCCACAGCCAACCAAGAGGGTTTGATGGGTTGACTCTCCGACAGAAACGCCTCTGAATGCAGAGATCTGCTTCAGTTTACCCAGTCCAGACCAGAAACAAATGGTTGTTCCAATATGGCGCCAGCTGGAGATCCTTTAGATGACAAGCGGTCGTTTGGGAAAAGCTTCATTTGTTTATGGTTGGGGGGCCCTGGGTAAACCCAGGGTGTTCCGGTGAGCTGACTTCATACCAGCACAGGAAAACGAGCTCTCTTCAGGTCTCCGAAATGGAGACTTCAAAGTCGCAGGTCATGACCTCACAGGTCTCGGGTGCTGGTGTGCAAGCTTTTGTGTTACCCATGCAGCATGCAGAACTGTTCTTCCACACCCGGTGTCCAACATGACCTACATAGCGGAATGGGCACCGAATCTTTGCCTATTCGGATTCCCCCCGGTCCCCGGTCGTGGCCGATCTTGACCCGTGGTGGGAGCTGTCGAACCCGAGGTTCGTGTGTTCGGCAGCAGTCCACACTTCGCGTGGTGGATCTAAGTGACCCTGGATGTCCAACATGAGCGGATCCCAAAGACACGAACATGAGCGGAGGACGTGCAGGGCCGTCTCGTGCAGGGCCTTGTTGATCCAAACCCACTCATTGGAACTCAGCTAAGAAAGTCTCCATGAGATCTGAAACAGACTCAGTGGTGGCAGTCCCCACCCCTGCCCCTGCCCAAACAGATACCATTAAATCCAACTTGAGATGTTCCTGCAATCATCAAGTCGATTTACAGGGTCTCAGGATCCCAGGCCCTTGGAGTCTTTTGCAGCTTTCTTCACCTGAGGGTCGTCTCGCGATCCGCGCTCCGTCCGCGCGAGTCCGCGTCGAAAGCGCTGCCAGGTGTGATAAAAACACAGCACTTGCAAGATCATCTTCTGCCCCCTTTCCGAACGAAAGTCCATGGGCCGAACGAAAGAGAGGTCTGGCTGCCAGGCTCCGATCCGCGCCGAGAAACACGCGCGCGCGGTGGCCGAAACGAACGCGCGGGCGACCATCGCGTAGTGCGCTGATTTCGTGCGCGCGAAGGATGGGAAGGTGGCCCGGTGTGGCCCGGTGTGGCCGTGGGTTTGGATTGGGAGCACAGTACAACTGGGGAATTTTCTTTGGTAGACCGGACGGTACCCGGTGAGGCCCGTGAGGCAGTGGCACGCAAGTCTGGACCAATCAGGAACGCGAGGGTCAGGACGGCACCGACACGTCGTCTTCCAAACAGAAGTGACGAGGTCCTTGTGGGTGGATGGCTCATTTGACTCGGAACGAGTCCATGACTCATGAATCAACTCCCCACAATGGCAGCATGGTAGTGGTGGAACAAATGACAAACAACCCGGTGGGGTAGTTCATGAGTCAAACCGGAAGTTCTGCTAATAGCAGGTGGTGCATCCACGCGTTCTGTTTGAATTCCCGTGGCACGGGTGCGGGTGCTGCCACCAGGTTCTGACCGATGAGAGCACTTGGATCTCCCGAACGATGGGAATTCGATGCCAATTTTCCACAAGTGCACAATTGCCCCCCTTCCACCGAAGCCCACAAGTGAAGTTGCACTTCATCCATGGCTCAATCGTGGCAATCGTGGAATGTGAAC